AGTATAGGTTTAGTTGTTGTTTCTGGTTTCCTGTTTTACTTTGAAAGTTCATGTCTTATGTCACTGTGTTCAGTTTTACTTCTCCCCTGTCTCATTAGCCTAATTTCTCCCAGCCCAGCTGCCACACAGCCAACCATGACATTACTTCCCCTCAGATCATTATGTTAGTAATTCTCAGCTGCATTCCCTGTTTCCTCTCCCCTCGTTATCTCATGACTATTTCTCTAAAAAACCCCGGTAACATCAAAGCCCATTCCCATGTATTTAAACTTCAAGTAAATCAGTTCGAATCTGTGACCGGTGAGTAAAAAGTAGTGATGGCCAAATGAAGCTTTCCGAAGCACTGAAGCTTGTATTGAAAAACGGTTCATTACTCGAAGCTTTTCAACACAGTCCTCTCCGGTGACATCTGGTGGTGAAAATTTTGAAGAGCAGCTTGAATCTGCAAAATAAAACGGACTGCTCAATCATCACTGCTCACTCAAGAGTGGAGTTCTCTCTGATATTGGGCCACCGTTCCGTTGCTTTGAACATGTAATTGGTTTTGTTTTCTCGATTGGGGGGCTGAAAAAAATGTAATGCGTATTTGCGTAATACATTTTGATCAAATCAAATACTTTTATTGTCACATGCACATGTGCAGGCACACTGGCACAGCACATGCGAGTGAAATTCTTGTGTGCGAGCCCCACAAGCAACAGAGATGTGCAAACACAACAACACAAACGAAGCAAAATACAAGAATGGCCAACCTGAAACTAATAAATATATGTACAATATATAATAGTGTATGCATTTCTGGATGTGTATACTAAATATTTTCCTACGTTGTGTGTGTGTGTGTGTGTGTGTGTGTGTATACACATTTTTACAAATTAATATAAAAAAAAATAATAATAATAATAAAATATATAAAATATACAGAGTTGAATATGTGCAAAACAGTGGCATTACTGTACAGTATGGAGTGCATAATGTTAAGTTCCAGTAGTGAAGCTGAGGTGTCTATGACGTGTTCAGCAGTCTGATGGCCTGATGGAAGAAGCTGTCTCTCAGTCTGCTGGTACGGGACCGAGATGCTGCAGAACCTCCTTCCTGATGGAAGCAGTCTGAACAGTTTATGGCTGGGGTGACTGGAGTCCTTGATGATCCTCCCCGCTTTCCTCAGGCACGCTTCCTGTAGATGTCTTGGAGGGAGGGAAGCTCACCTCCAATTATCCGTTCAGAGCACCGCACTACTCGCTGGAGAGCTTTGCAGTTGTAGGCGGTGCTGTTGCCATACCAGGTGGTGATGCATCCAGTGAGGATGCTCTCAATGGCACAGTGATAGAAGGTCCTGAGGATGCGGGGGCTCATGCCGAATCTTTTCAGTCTCCTGAGAAAGAAGAGGCGCTGCTGCGCCTTCTTCACTGTTTTGTTTGTGTGTACTGACCACGTAAGATCCTCAGCCAGATGTACTCCAAGGAACCGGAAGCTGCTCACTCTCTCCACAGCAGCGCCGTTGATGGTGATGGGGGTGTGTACTTCTCTGCACCTCCGGAAGTCCACTATCAACTCCTTTGTCTTTGCGACGTTGAGGGTGAGATGGTTGTCTTGACACCAGTGGGTCAGGGCGCTGACCTCCTCCCTGTAAGCCGTCTCATCACCTTGGTGATAAGACCCACCACTGTAGTGTCGTCCGCAAACTTCACAATGATGTTGGAGTCTGTTAGTGGCTGTGCAGTCGTAGGTGTAGAGTGAGTACAGGAGAGGGCTCAGTACACACCCCTGTGGAGCACCAGTGTTCAGTGTGATGGGGGATGAGGTGATGCTGCCCAGTCTGACCACCTGGCGTCTGTCAGACAGGAAGCTAAGGATCCAGCTGCAGAGGGAGCTGCTCAGTCCTAGATCCTGCAGTTTCCTGTCCAGCTTCGAGGGAACGATGGTATTGAATGCTGAGCTGTAATCTACAAACAGCATTCTCACATATGTGTCTCTCTTCTCCAGGTGTGACAGGGCAGTGTGTAGTGTCAGGGCTATGGCATCATCAGTGGACCTGTTGTGGCGGTATGCGAACTGTAGAGGGTCCAGTGAGTCGGGTAGTGATACATTTTGATCAATAAACTTTCCCTATTTAAACATGCACTATGGTGTGGCCTTTCTTTGCTCATAACTCCTTGATGTTGGTAAATACAATAAGTGAGCAATATATATAATATACATATGAGAATGCACAGCACATTATGGAGTATGCCCCTGCTGTGGAGTCCTGCCTCCATCTACTTGTCGTTTAATCACTGGACAGCTGGACAGGTTCATACAAAATATTAGATGTAGCCAATTGTCCTATACATATTTTTGACCTAGGGGTGGGATTGATTGTGAACTGGAAAGGGAAAATGCTTAGGGGCTGAGTACGGCTGCATCGTCACTGATTTGTAGAATCATTTTGATTCGATACAGGATCCGATTCAATTTGATTGGAATCTGGAAAGTTTTGCCTCAGTCAGAAATATTACAATTCTGGTCATGTATCAGTATATATCCATAATTTCGTATCTATTAAAAGAAAGCTGACACATGTGAGACTTAATTAGAGATGTAAACAGAGAGTTATGAAACCTGCAGCTGCAGAAGCCAGCGAAAAAAAAAGAGGCAAACACAGCGCGGACCCGCGCTCTGTGTTACGTTTGTATGCAGAATCCGTAAACCTGCTCCCAGTTACTGTTTTAGCTGTATGGTGTTTGACGACATGTTGTGAGGTTTAACCTGAGATGCTGGCGTTTCAGGCATAATAACGTTAATTTACAAATCGACACAGGATTTAATGAATCAATATCACTTTATTCAATTTAGCATGGATTGTAATCAGAAAGGCGATAATCAAAACCCACCCCTAATCAAGAACTTGCAAAGTAAAAACATGATCTATGTCAGGTAGCCCTTTTGTTATTTACATTTAAAAAGAGGATTAGTGTTACTGTGCGCTGGCTGAGTCTGTTTCTTTTCTTAGAAATAGTTTCTCCTGCCCTGGAGAAAATCCACTTGCATGGAACAGAAGAGGCTGTGGAGTGCAGGAACCACACTGCAAGCTGGTAGATATGCAGGTATTCCTGGGTCCTGCAGACTATCACCTAAAAACAATAAACAAAATGATTTTCTAAACGTGTAGCAATGTAATGTACGTATAGTGTCAAATACATTTTTGTAGTCTTCATTAGCTTTAATTCACATGGAAGTGTTCCTAAAGTCATATGCTGTAATGATATTTACATTATGAAAACATGATTTTGGACATTTCAAGTTTTTCACTTCGGCAGATAAAATGAATTGAGCAAAATCAACTCAAAATATTCCCACACGCCAGAACGTCCTCTCTTCCTCGCTGGCTCCATATCTGTCAGTGGAATGATCACCTCGTCGCTATCTGTCACCATCAACACACTCCACGAATCCCGTGGATGATTCACTTCCTTATATCCGTTTGAATCAGGTACCGAAGCAGTTACGTGCGTAATGAAGCTTCGGACGTCACTGGTCACGTGACTTTTGCCAAACGAAGCAAGCCTCGACACAGTGCTTCTGAACCAGTGTGTTGTTTTTTTCGACACACGCTCCGGAGCGTCAGCTTCAAGCGGGCCATCACTAGTAAAAAGCTTTAAATGCTGTTTTGAGACTTCAACACCAAATGGTTTAATACTTTTATCAAAACTTTCTTACTTTGGAAAAAGGTGTGCCTCATGTGGAATTCAGACATAAAAAATTAAATGTGAATGATTTATGTGAAACTTTACAAACATAAAACTTCTGAAATAGAGAAAAGAAAAACTGTACATGTTGTCACAATGTCTAGAGGCAAACAGAGACACAGGTGAATAACCAAAAGTGAGGCTTTATTGAGGGCTGAACAAAGCCACAACATGAGGAAACAGAAAAACTAACAAAATCCTAAACTGGGAAATCTAAGATTAAAATTACCCGAACCTGAAACTAGAACTAGCCAAACCTGGAAACGTGAGGGGACTGAGCGCAGCAGTAACACAGTGGAATGATACACAGACAGACCAATGAAGAGCAAAAGATAAAACACACTAAATATACACAGAAGGAAACGAGGAAATGGCAGATAGGAGGGAGACACAGCTGAACCTAATTCAACATGAGGAGAAAGGGAGGAAGCAAAACAGAATACATTGACATGAGACACGGACTTTCAAAATAAAACAAGAAATACAACCAGCACATACAAAATGAGAAAGTAGCACCAACTACTGTACAATACATCGCAGTAGCACTGCAACACTCACCGGCCAATTTATTAGGTATGCCTGTCCAGCTGCTTGTTAAGACAAATATTTAATTAGAAAATCACATCAGTGCATTCAGACATGTAGAACACACATTGTCAAGAACTGGAACTGCTCAACCTCAGATCAAACAAAGGTTAAGAAGGTTATGAAATAATGACATCCTACAACAAAAAAGTGTTGGAAAACACACAGGGTTATTTCTTTTAACAATCCAACCACAGCCCAGTTGTTTGTCGCAATATTCTTGTGCTAGAGCACCTGAAGTGAGGCTTTTTATCCCAAACAATAATCTGTTACAGCTGAGAAGAGAAGCAGCTCTGACAAAGATGTAGGAGGCTATATATCAGGTTGAAGTAAGAGTCAGAAGAACTCAAAGAAATGAAATTCAGAGTTTGGAGGAAGGATTGTACTCATAATCAACCTGCAGATGTGTTTTTGTAGTTACACTCGCAGTCTGAAGATGGAGATAAAAGCGCTGCAGGCTGAAGCACAATATATGTGGACTAGAAAGGTAAACTGGTTCTTATATAGCGCTTTTCTACTCTTCTGAGCACTCAAAGCACTTTATACAACTTGTGCATTCACCCATTCGCACAAGCACATTTGTCTAAGTGCTTTTTTTAAGCTAAAATTTACACACATTCATACTCCGATGGATGCATCGGAGAGCAATTTTGGGTTAGTGTCTTGCCCAAGGATATGGGCAAGACCCCAGGCATGCAGACTAGGGGAAGCCAAGAATCGAACCACCAACCTTCCGATCAGTAGATGACCTGCTCCACCGCCTGACCTACAGCTACGCCATGTAAAAGACACTATGCACACATCATTCATTGTAACAGCTGTCAACAACTGTGTTGTGTCCTGTAATGTCAGATAGTGATAGTTAAGATGCCGAACTGAACTCAGCCAACACTACGAACTAACCATTTTTTTCTGATTAGATTGTTGAGTTTCTGGTGAGCTCTTCAGGTTGTACTCTGACATGGCTGCAGGGTAATGGATATGTGGCTGTTGAACACAGCATCTCTCTCAAACTTTCACAGTAGAGTAAGTCTGAAAGTCTGTGTCTGCTGGAGTGACACCAGATGCTCCGTCAGAGCTGTAACTCACAGCAGCATAATGAGAACACTCCTGTTGTCTGGGTTGATCTGACTGTACGGTGGAACAAAGATTAACCACATGTTTATTTTTAAAGTAGACTCTGCTGTAGTGGACTTCATCCTCCTGCTTTGGTTGTGTTGAGATGTCATTAACAGGACCAAGGCTGAGCTGAGGGAAACAAACAGCATTAATTTATACTGTACTTTAAACTTGACTCCTTTTACTGTATGTTGAGAAAAATGAAATGACCACTGGAACGTTAAGACAATCCACAAACATCTAATCTCTACCTGTTCAATTTGGTCAGACCTTTCAGTTGTTGGAGGCTGAGCAGAAGTTCTCTGTTTCCTGGTTAAAATGATGAACTGAAAAATGAGTGACTTCAGAGCAGAGATTGAATCTACTGCTGTGAACCAACACTTACCTAACACACCAGCAGACAGTGAGAAGTATTAAAACCAGCAGAGCTGCAGAAACTCCTGCAGCTGCTGGTGTCCATGTTCCTGTGATACTTTGGACAGTGAGAGTCTTTGGAGCAGAGCTGATCTCTTTGTTGGTTTTCACAGCACAGGAGTAGCTTCCTGCATCCTCCCTGCTGACTGGGTCTAGGATCAGATGTTTGTTCTGGTTCTCTCTCGGGGTCAGAGGTCGACTGTTCAAGTACCAAATGTAGTTTGTGTTGTCAGTCAGAGGACAGCTGGTACTGCAGGTCAGTGTGACTCTCTGACCCTCTGTCACCACTGCAGAAGGACTCATCTTCACTCTCAGCTCTGGAAGAGGAACATTGGCAGTGTTGTGTTTAATGTATTGTTGTAAACACAAAACATTTTTCACTAACTCAGTAATGTAATGTGTTACTGTACTAAATTCACTAATCACATTACAATTACAATTATGTCATTACTTGCATTACAAAGGTTTTTCTGTTATCTGCACACCAGGTGGAGAGAAAGAAGAAAAATTTCAAACAAACAAACTTTTCTTTCCTGCCACAATCAGCTGATTTCAGTTTGTGTGCAGGATTAGGAAAAAGGTGGAGCGGTCTACAGCCTCTCCGGATTGTAGGCAAAGACATTACTTTTATCTTTATTGCACGTAAAGAACAGAGCGCGATGATAAAGTGGAAACTGCATCTAGAACAAAAAACAACTGCATTACGTTGCTAACACAACTTTGGATCTTTGCAAACATCTGCACAGACAGCATGCTAGTGCAACGCCAGTCAAGAACCCAGACTGATGATAAAGCTGAGTGAATGCTGACTCCAGCCCAGCAGCCTGAACTTCAATAGGTAACAAAGGCAGTGATGAACAGACAGGCTGCAGCCTCTGTTTCTACCTGTTTATGTTTCTAAAGTAGAATCACTGGGAATCGCTATAAAGTTTCTTTGTTCTGGTTTTCATCTTTGCTTTGTTTTTAGCTTTGTGTTCACAGAGTAACGAGCAGGTGAGCAGTGTAACAATTTACTTTATCTGGTGAGTAATCAAGTGACATACTGTATTACTTTTAAAAGGTGTAACAAGTAATGTGTCATATATTCTTTTTTTGAGTAACGATACCAGCACTGATCAAAAACATTTAATCTCAGAGTAAATCTCCTCTGTGACTCACACACTAAACATTTTGACTAAAGCGACAAACTGGTGCTTTAGTCCTCCTGTTCAGTGAAGAAATGTATTTATTAAAGAAGTGTATTTCACTACAAGTTATACATACATATTTGTACTTTCAGTTTTGTCAAAGTTCAATCTAAATTATCTTAAAAGAGAAAACTTTTTAGTCCACAACTTATTTCTGACGTCAACTAACACAAGTAATTTCACAGATGACAAGTTTTTCCAGTTTTTGTCATTTTTAGTAAAGATAATATTTTGTTTCTTCTTATAGTCAATCTTTCAGTGCAGGAATTTGTGTGGAGTATTTTAACATAGTGGTAATGCTGTTTTAGATGAAGGACCTGAATATTTCTTCCAGCTCTGTATCTCCGAATTGGACCGTATCTAAAATTTACCCTTGCATTTGCTATGATGGACTATTTACTCCATGGTGTAGCTATTTTCTCATAATTAAAAAATCGGAATATTTCTTCCACCTCTGCTCCTGTTCAGACATTAATAAGTAAAGTCTGCTGAGGGAGGAGTTTAGATTTACCTGTGACAATCAAAAAGACTCCAGGCAGATCAGACTGTGTCCATCTTTCATGATCTCTCTTGAATCTGAATGTGTATCCTCCTGAGTCATTCTTCTTCAGGTTTTTGATGGTCAGGATGTGTTGGTTCTTCATGTTGTCCTGATACTCCACACCACCTGCAGCCTCAATCAGCTCTTCAACTTCCACTTTATCTTTTCTCCATTTTTTACTCCAACATTTAAACTCTGGCTTCCTGTTATCAGGATGTGAGTATTCACTTGTGATGTTGACTGAAGATCCTTCCAGAGCACAGATTCTCCTGCTGACATAATTCACTCTCCAGCAGTTTTTATCCTGAACACCTGAAATATAGATGGAAGATTTAGAGTTGTTTGATTTTCTGTATGCTGACACTTTTATTCATAATTAACTGAAAGAAAAAATGAAATGAATTACTCACAGACTTCTGCAGACTGAAGATGCTCGTGGTCTTTTACAGCACAAGAGAACTTGTCTTTTGCAGAGATATGAATTGAAATATGTTGATTCTTGACGTTTCTGCTTCGGTTTTGGTACCACGTGTATGTAGTTTTAGGGTCGGTCAGATTACAGCTGTTGTTACAGGTCAGTGTGACATTATCTGATGTGTAGAAAGTTCTTTGAACACAAACCTCTGAAAGATGATTAATAAAGTTTTCATAACACACAATGACCTATATCATTTTATTTCTGTTTTTAGGATGTGTGCTAACAGATTTATTAACAAAGGTCATATTTAGTGTAATCTTATAAAAGGAAAATTGACATTAAACAAAAATGTGAGAGGTTAGGTGAAAGATGTGTGTTTATCTGTGGAAACTTCACCTCTGGGATATGTGATGGAGCACAGCTCATCTACTGATCTCTGCTTGTAAGAACACATGTTCCCTTTAGCATAGGTCACACTGAAGCAGGTCGCTGTGATGGAATCTGTACAACAAAAGATGTATTGAGATATACTGAGATCATTCTTACATTTATACTAATTTACTTAAATTATTCTGTTTGTTTTGTAGAACAATAAGCATCATGACTCACCCACAGAGACTTCAGGGGCTCTGAGATGCTCGTAGCCTTTGACAGCACAAGAGTATGTGACTGCGTCCTCACTGCTGAGCAGCTCTTGGTACCAGGGAGACCAGTCCTCATAGAGAAACTCTCTGTTCTTGTACCAGATGTAGGCTGCAGGCTTTTCAGTCAGAGGACAG